AATTTTGATCGTTGAGAGCCCCAATAAAAACAATAAGATCTGTCGGAATTGATGACAAAATCCACAATCGACCAGTGACACCGAGGAGGAAAAGGACGGAGGCAGTGGTGATGCGCAAAGCCGACGACAACGATTTAGGTTGGATTGCAGTGGAGAGATAGAGAGAGAGAGAAGGGGTGGCTGTGCCGATGATAGGTAGTGTAAGGGTGAACAGAAGGTGGGCACGGTGAGAGGAGGTGGCAGTCGCCATGGTGATGGTGGTCATAGTGATTTGCAGGAACAAGGGTGAGTCATATATTTAATTGAAGTCATTTTTGCTTTATTTGCAGGAGTGAGGGTGACTCACATATAGGGTGAGTGGTGGTGGAGATGAGTGGAGAGAAGAGAATGGGTGGACGGTGGTGGAGATTGAAAGGCTAGAGAGAGAAAGTAGGATAATTTTTTTTTTTTTTTTTTTGAATAAGGGTATTTTGGTCACCTAATGGTTATGATATTTTAGATCAAAATATAAATAAAATATTAAAGGGTAAAGTAGACATTTCATCCCTTTTAAGGCTCCGTTTTACTTCAAAATCTGACAGGAGGTGTCATTATTCTAGTTGTCAGTATAACAAATCCCAAGGGGAGTGAATATAATTAACCCTAATAATAATAATAATAATAACAATAATAAATTATGGTATGAAACTATTACTTATTTGTCTTGATTTTGAATTGAGAGCATTCATATTAAAAGCAGTATAGGCTAGCATGATGAAATATCTTTTTTGCCTTCCAAAACAGAAAGTCAAAACTTCAAAGTTGTTATAAAAGTTGCACGTAAATTATAAAATATTAAAGGCTCTATTAGTTTGGATGGAAAATATTTTTAAAAAAATATTTTTTTATTTTTTGGTGTTTAGTTGTCATAAAATATTTACAAAGAAAAAAAAATTAAAATTTAACAAAAATAATTTATTCATAAATTTTCGACAAATTATTTTACATGTCCCGTTCGAGACGTAAACTTTTACCAAATACTAACAAAACAAAAGTAAAAAAATATTTTACCTGAAAAAGAAAAATATTAAAAAAAGAATTTTTTACGTCGAAACAAACGGAGCCTAAAAATAATACAATAGATAAACTTTATTCAACCATGTGAGCTTAGTAGCTTACCACCAAAGGGTCTATTCAACCGGACAAGGATCACCTCCAGTTGCACAGTAGTCCATTTTCTCCATTTCTTGTAAGTAAAAGTACATTCTAACATTTTCGTACGGTGCATCCCAACATTTTCCTACTGTGCATCCTAATATTTTCCTACTATGCATCCCAAATATGGGTGACATAGCCATTTCTAGACCACTCATTTCAAAATGAAGTAAATGGCACACTATTTCACTGGAGGTGATTTTCACTCTTGTTCAACCTTTCTAGATTAAACTAAAATGCAAGTTGAGTTGTGTCGAACGTAGTCAAACTTGTAAATTTATTTATTTATTTATTTATTTTTTTTTTTGAAGTTTCCAACAGTATGGACCATTATAGAAGTGTTGCAACATGATGACCAAATATTACTTCGGATCCAAGAAAATCAAGAAGAGCAATGAGGAAAAAAAAAAATAGAAAAGTATATATTAGTGAAAAAATATTTTGACCATGGAATGAATATCAGGGTTCAAATCCTATGATCTGTTAATTTGAAAGTAAACCATTAGATAATATAAATGTCTAACACAACATCCCACTCTTCACCCAAATAATGCAATTCCAATATATATATATATATATATATATCATTTACAATTAGTATGGGTAGCCATCTTTGCTTAATTGTTCCTTCTTTCTAATTCATTCTCTTCAAGACTGGTTTTGAACACCTTGTAGCATCATTTACAACAAATCTCTATAGTACATTTCTTTCGATATTACTTGTACAATAATACACTTATGCTGGAGTACCGAATTAGCGATTTGAAATTTGATCAGTTGAAAATTTAATATAAATTCTTTGGAGAGGTGGAATACTAGAATGATAGTTTTAGCAAGAAAATTTGAGAATTACGGGAAGAATAATATATTGACCAAACCTAAAAATAATTTATTTGTATAGACAATTCTTTAAATTTAAAGCAATAAAACTGACCAATAATTTTATTGGTGGCCAAAGTCACAATAAATCAATTATTTTCTATTTAGTTAATTTCTACATCCTATTTAATTATTGTTCTCATTTTATTTTTTTATATAGTTAATTTAGAATAAATCATCACAATTCGATTATTTTACTTTCAAGTTAATTTAAAATTTAAGAAATCGGTTGACAAACTAAATTTACACAAGTACTTTGGGTATGACACATTTACAAGTAAACCCTATCTGTAAAGATTCGTGCACTTGCGAGTGGTACATATAAATCTCATAACAATATTCTATTGTTTTTTTAATTAAAATTATATAGTAATCTTATTATTTCTTTGGTATGTTATATTTTGTTTGCCATCATTTTTATTCATATTATTGAATTTGCTTATTAGAAAGTATCAATTGGGATATGAAAAATTAATTCAATATGAATTCGGATATGAAAAAGTAATTCAATCTAAAAAAGAAGTTCTTGATAAGTTTGTTACAACTATAATCAAAACATAAATTTAAAATAAATAAATAAATAAATAGGTAAAAATTCAAAATTCAGCAAATGAACAACCAAGAATTAAAAGATTATACGATAGTGAAAGAAAAAGAGTCTATGGACTTGATTCATAATGATAATCAAATGTGTGAAAAATAAATCTTTTTATGAAAAAAAAAAAAAAAAAAATTATGCCGTGGGCGGGTGCGAGACACTGGCAGGCTGCCACACTGGGCGAGCTGCAAGTGCACAATCCCACATTGCCTGGGTAAGGGAAATGTGAAGTGCTTATATGTAGGTTTGTCACTCCAATTGGTATGAGGCCTTTTGGGGTAAAACCAAAGAGCAAAACTGTGCGAGCTCAAGCCCAAAGCGAACAACATCATACTATGTGGTGGAGTGGGTCGTTACAAATGATATTAGAGCCTGACCCATCTGGAAGTGTGCCAACGGGGACGTCGGACCTTCTAGGGAGTGGATTGTGACGACTTTGTAAGCCGGTGCGAGACATTGACAGGCTACCACACTGGACGAGTTACGAATGCACAATCCCACATTAATTAGTAACTTTGCATTTTAAAAAGCAAGAATACTGATCTTTAAATGAAAATTTTGACCACCTTCTTCCAATAATATCAAATTCTTGATAAGATCATGGTTCGCAGTATCGATCGCGATCAAAACTATCCAGCCTGGGATTTCCCTTTGGAAACTATACCCTCTGAGCGGAATATTAGTAGTCCCCCAACTACCGAGTCAGTTAAGGATACCAAAGGCGGCATGGGCCGGATCCGACCCAGATGATGAAGAATGGGCCTGGTAAATGACCTGGGCCCGAATAAACCTGTCATAAGTCAAGCCCAATGCTGAAGAGTAAAGATGAAGGCCCTCAAAGGCGATCAGGCCCACGGTTTTAAAAGCCTTGAGAACGAGCCCAACGGAGGAAGTTAGATAGGAACCTTCTAGAACACCGTAAACAATCTATAAATAAGGAAAAAATAGAGGAGAGAGCGGATTGAAAAATTGGGAAGTGTAATGAAACTCTGTCAATTTAGAGAGAGAGAATTATTGCATCTTCAATGGCGTCATCTGTGGGAACCGATGAAGATTGATTTTCGATCGGTCAAAAGTGATGCGATTGTGAGTGATTTGTGAGGAGCTAGTTCAATCTTTGAAAACTGGATCGGGATCGGTGAGATTATTGTTTGTTTTGCTAAATTCCGATTCCAATTCATTTCGAGTGATTAACGTCCGATCTACGCAGTTCAGATCTGTGTTTGTTCCGGTGAGCTGCGCAGCTGGAATTTGTTGAGATTGCATAATTTGGCGAGTTCGTTACTAAATCAATTCAAATCTGGTCGATAACAGTTGCAATTCAACTAGTTTGAATTTAGATCTAGTGAATTCGCATTAGCGAAGCTCAGATCTGATCAAAAATCTGCGGTTAATGACTTTGCTTCGATCCGGAATGATGATCAAAGGAGAGAGCTCAAATCCATTGGATAATGGCCAGCAGTCAAAGTTAGAAGAGTTGATGAGCATGATCGAAACCTTGAGAAAAGATAATGCAGAATTATGAGCTGGAGTGGAGCGACGTGAGGCTCCTACTATTCCAAGGCCACCTCCAATAGGAGAGGGAACCTTACCGATCAATGCTGTTCATCAGGGCATTCCAGAAGGTGTCAACCGTATGGATCCTCATCGTGAAGAAGTTTTGGTAGGCGATTTACCTCCAAATGTCCGTCAAGAAAAGGATTGTGAGGGATCTATTCATTTGGATCCGCGTCATGAACGGATTATGCGAGAGGAGGCACCAACATTTGACCCTAGGGCTATATAACTGTGGCGAAGTGACTTTGCAGAGGACGGATCAGTCGATCGGCTTTATCGGCCTTCGATGGCAACGTTTGATCACAAGAGTTCAGAGAGGAGATCGGCCGACTGTAGAGTTACATCACGCTTCACAAGGGAGAATAAGGCACTCCGTTCATCAGCAAGGACGGTTGCATCTCCATTCACTGACGAAATCCTAAATGCTCCAAATCAGAAGAAATTTTCCATGCTAATCTTCATCCTGTTTGATGGGACAACCGACCCAATCGATCATATCTACCACGTTTAGTTGAAAATTGCTCTGAACACGAATGATGATCATTTAATGTGCAAGTGCTTCCCAATAAGTTTGGCTGGGCCAGCCCTCAATTGGTTTAAGAATCTGGCTCAAGGCTCAATTGCCAGTTTCAACGACTTGTGCGACAAGTTCATAAGCCAATACTATGGAAATAGACGCCTAGCAAAGGACGTTTCAAGCCTTTTTACAATGAAGTAGCACGAGGATGAACGACTCCAAGCTTTCCTTACCAGGTTCAACCTTGTCAAGAGCATGGTAATGGAATGTCATCCATCCACAGCGGTTCAGGCATTCAAACTTGCAATGACCAGAGGGACGCCGTTTCATACAAGTCTGGTGGTGAACATGCTGAAGACAATGGACGAGCTGAATGAGAGAGTTGACGGTTTCGTACGTCTGGAAGAGAAGGAAGCAGCTAATGCTAGGAAGACATCTATTATCTCCGCAGAGGAGAAGTTCAAAGCCAAGATTCGGCAAAAGCAAGCTCCACCACAGCATCAGACCTCTTGGAAGTCAGAGAAGAGTCCCCGAGAGGAGGAATTGATTACTCCACTCAAAGTCACTCTGGCAAGGCTGTACAAAGAAAATAAAGATAACTTTCGTCCTCCCTTACCAATTCGACAACCTCTTGAACAGAGAGATCGCTCTAAACATTGTGCTTTTCATAGTGATTTTGGTCATCAGACTAATGAATGCAGGAACTTAAGGAGGCAAGTGGAGATGTTGATCGCAAAGGGAGAATTTGCTGGATATATTCAGGGCCAGCACAGGAGCAGAATCGACTAGCTGAGCAAGTTAAGAGAAATCAAAAGCCGAACCACCATAACGCTCAGCCCGTTCAGATAATAAATGCAATTCATGGCCGACATGAACGGACAACAGAATCTGAAGAATTGCTCCGAACGCGTCTCCGCCAAGCGCAGATGAAGAGGCGAGTAGGCAGTGTCAACACTTTACACCAACAGAACGCATCAACACAGATAAGGTTTGACAGAATAGACTTGCTGCGAGTTCAGATTCCTCATGAAGATCCTTTGGTTGTTAGTTTGATAGTGGCAGAATGCTTAGTGCGAAGGGTGCTAATAGATCCTGGGAGCAGTGCGAATGTTATACCTAGGGTCACCTTCGATCGATTAGAAATTAAGCCAAAAACGCTTAAATATACTAGAAATCCATTGTTGGGATTCGATGGAAAGCGAGTTGAATCCATCGGCACAGTTGAATTGGTTGTCCGAGTTGCCGAAAGGGAACTTATCAAAAGCTTTGTGGTGGTGGAGATCCATCCATCCTACAATCTGCTGATGGGAAGAAGATGGATTCATAGGGTCCATGGAGTCCCATCGACCCTGCACCAAGTTATGAGGTGTCTGAGTCCTGATGGCAATAAGGTGATTGATATCCATGGGGACCAGGTTGCAACAAAGGAGTGTTACTCGGTGACTCTGAAAGCCGCAGGGAAGGGAAAAGTTCCCGTCCAATCTCATAGCCCACAATAGCAATTACAACAGCCTTCCCCCAGCTTAAAAGGGGAGGAGGAGCCTCCGATGTTGACTGAAAAACCTCTAGTTGATGTTCAAATTGATCATTTGAGGCCAAACAGAACCACAAAGGTAAGCTCAGGGCTTGTCGAGGAAGAAAAGCGCCAGTTGGTTGATTTCCTCTCCCAGAACGCCGATGTGTTCGCCTGGAGTCATTCAGACATGCCGGGGATCTACCCCACTGTTTTTTGTCACTTCTTAATGTAAATCCGAGCATCAAGCCCGTGAGGCAGAAGCAGAGGAGGTTCGCCCCCGAGTGCAACCAGATCATTTTCGATGGAGTTAACCAATTGTTGGAGGTGGGGTTCATCAGAGAGGTACAGTATCCTGTCTGGTTGTCAAATATGGTTGTAGTACAAAAGAAGAACGAAAAATGGAGAGTTTGCATTGACTTCACCAATCTGAATAAAGCTTGCCTGAAGGATAGCTTTCCACTCCCAAAGATTGATCAAATGGTGGACGCAACAACTGGGTATGAGCGATTAACCTTTCTGGATGCTTATTCAGGCTATAATCAAATCCCAATGGATCTGAACGATGAGGAAAAGACTTCTTTTGTCACTGAACGAGGGATTTATTGCTACAAGGTCATGCCGTTCGGATTGAAGAATGCCGGAGCGACATACCAAAGGATGGTTAGCAAGATTTTTAAGGATCAGATGGGTGAGACAGTGGAAGCTTACATCGACGACATGGTGATAAAGAGCAAATGGAAGGACCATCACCTGAAGCATTTGCAGGAGGTGTTTGGAGTACTGAGAAGGTATGGAATGAGGTTAAATCCAACCAAGTGCTCGTTCGGTGTGGGATCCGGGCAATTCCTAAGCCACGTAGTCAACAACAGAGGCATTAAGGTCAGCCCAGCCTGATAAGTGCTTAAATGTTGCACATTGCAGCACCTAAGCTAGGTTTAGAATTAATGTCAAATAGGCATCAAATCAAGTATGTATATATAAATAAATCACAAGGCCATATATTTAATTACAACATAATAATTCCCCAAGAAAAGAAAAACAAAGGTTTAGGTTATATGAACTTAGGGCTCATCCAAGCCCTAAATGAAGAACTAGCTCATGGAGAAGATGATCATGGTGTCAACAAGCTCCATTTCTATCTTTTGGCTCCTTCTTCTTCTTTCTTCAATTGTAGACAAAACCTTTGTAAAATATTCTTCAAACCAGCTTTTCTTCTCTTCGTGTTTTTTCAAAGAGAATCTCGATATCACGGTACAGAAAAAAATAAAACTTTTCTTTCATCTCATAAATTAAAAACTCTCTTAAATAAAATAATATTAACCCTAAACTAATGGCTCACTGGGCCTTAAGTAACAAACCCTATTAAAGCCCATAAATTATAATAAGCCCAAAATAAGAAAATCCTGTAATGTTGCTAAGTCCTGGGGGATCAATCCCCCATCCTGGGGATCGATCCCCCAAGAGTTGGAAATTTTCTTTAAGCCTTATTTAGCTCCATTTTGGCCCCAGGCTTGTTGGTTTGCTTCTTCATCTTTGAGAACATCATTAAAGACCCGAGATTGACCGCTTTTGAAGAATAAACACACTATACGAGCAATGGACTGCGACCTTTTTTTGCCATTTTTTTGAACTTTTTCTGATTGTCTTTGCTTGACTCCAAAGAGGCTTTAATGGACCATTCTTAGCTCATTTTAACTTTATTGCCCTGAAATACACATAAACATAAATTAAGACTAAAACATGAAATTAAGATGGATGCAAAGACTTAAATACCCTAGCTTAGGTGATGAAATGTGTAACGTTTAAGCACTTATCACAGCCCAAGCTAAGGCTTTACTAGAAAATGCAGAACCAAGAACTATCAAGGAGGTCCAAGCTCTCACCGGATGCATAGCGGCACTGAGTCAATTCATCTCTAAGTTATCCGATTGATGCAAGCCATTCTTTGATACCATCCGAGATCACGGAAAACAGTCCTAAGGGGATGAACAAAGGTAAGTACTGACCAAGTTGAAAGAATATATGCGGAACCCACCGGTCTTGAATGCCCTAAAACCAAGTGAAAAGCTTTTTTTGTACCTAGGAGTCTCTAACGTTACAACCAGTGGTGTTCTGATACGATGTGCCGAGGGTAAGCAGTTCCCAGTTTTCTATGGAAGCAAAACATTGACCGAGCCAGAGAGAAAGTATTCGAAGACTGAACGAGTCATTTTGTGCTTGATAAATACAAAGAGGAAATTCAGGGTAATCTTGCATAAGCCCGATCTCATCCTATAGTCGTTCTGACCACATTTCCTATAAGGGTAATCTTGCATAAGCTCGATCTGTCCGGACGAATGACGAAGTGGGCAGTAGAGCTCAGTTCTTTTGATGTAACGTACGAACTCCAAACGGCCATCAAAGGGTAAACTGTGGCTGATTTCTTATTGGAGTGTGATATGGATGAGCCAGATGAATGTCTTGAAGAATCTTCATGGAAGTTCTTCGTTGACGGCTCCTCAAATCAGATGGGGGCAGGAATCGAGGTCAAGTTACAAACACCAAAAGGCACTACGCTGAGCCAAGCGATCAGGCTTGAGTTCAGGGTAACCAACAATGAAACAAAGTATGAAGCGCTATTGGCTGGGTTAAGGATGGCGAAGGAGCTAAAAGTCAAAAGCTTAGTCGCCTTTAGTGACTCACAGCTAATCATTCGGCAAGTGACTGGGGAATATGGAACAAAGGATGAAACAATGGAGGCATACCGTTCAGCCGTTATGCATGTGGCCAGGAGTTTTAATCAGATCAAGTTCATTCAATTGCCGAGGGAGCGTAATGAAGATGCCGATCGGTTAGCCTGCAGTACGTCCAGTTCGGGCGAAACATTGGCACGGGTGATTCCGATTGGTGTGCTGCGCCAGCCATCCATCCTGGAGGAACCGTCAAGCTCAGATCCTTGGCAGGTGAACATCATACCATACGAGCCGAGCTGGATAGATCCAATTATGGCGTATATACGAGATGGTGTTTTGCCCGAACAGAGGGATGAAGCAAGAAGAATCAGATCGAATGCTGCAAAATATGCCATAATACACAACTAACTGTATAGGAGGTCTTATTTAGGGCCTTACTTAAAGTGTGTAACTCCTGCAGAGGCTCAGCAGGTACTGCGGACTATCCATGAAGGGGTTAATGGTAATCATTCAGGGGGAAGCTCTCTAGCACACAAAGCGATGACACAGGGATATTTTTGGCCGAACATGTCAAGAGACGCGGAGAAATTTTTGAGAAGGTGCGATAAGTGCCAAAGGTTCGGACCACTGATCCACCAACCACCAGAAAATTTGCACATAATGGCCAAACCATGGCCTTTCACGCAATGGGGGATGGATGTGGTTGGCCCATTACGGACCGCCATATCACAAAATAAGTACGTTCTGCTTGCAACAGACTACTTTACCAAATGGGTGGAGGCAGAACCATATCCCAGTATGACTCAGACCCATGTGAGATGTTTCATTTAGAGTAATATCATCTGTCGATTTGGTGTGCCGAGGTTGATCGTAATAGACAATGGGACTAACCTTGATAGCAAGCAGGTGAGGGAGTTGCTGGAAGAATATAGAATCAATCAAAAGTTAGCAGCAGTCAGCCATCCACAGGCAAATGGACAGGCTGAGATCACCAACAAAACGATCTTTGCTTGCATAAAGAAGAAGCTTGAAGAAGAAAAAGGGAAGTGGTTGGATGAACTCCAGAATGTCCTGTGGGCGTATAGAATGACTCCAAGGTGACCGACCGGAGAGAGCCCATTCGCCAGCGATACTGAAGCAGTAATACCGGTAGAGCACCAAGTTATAGGAAATAAGGCATACGTCTTAGAAAACGTATTATCAATGAAAATTGAGTTTCAGTTCAACCAGTATTTATCTTCAATTGTGTACTTGCAAATGGGCAAAACTTCGAAAGATTTATAAAAAGTATACTTTTCTTCCAAGAAGGTAACTGAGTATAAGCATTTAAGGCAAAATAAGTGGCAACAGGCACTATAAGCCGAACGTCAAACATTTGCTAAAAGACAAAAAGATAAGTGGCAAGTGGCATTCTAGCTGAACGCCAGGCACTTAAGCAAAGTAAGTGGCAACTGGCATTACGAGCCGAACGCCAAACACTTGCTAAAAAACAAAAAGCCAAGTGGCAAGTGGCATTCTAGCTGAGCGCCAGGCACTTAAGCAAAGTAATTGGCAACTGGCATTATGAGCCGAACGTCAAACGCTTGCTAAAAAACAAAAAGCCAAGTGGCAAGTGACATTCTAGCCAAGCGTCAGGCACTTAAGCAAAGTAAGTAGCAACTGGCACTACGAGCTGAACGCCAAACGCTTGCTAAAAAATAAAAAGCCAAGTGGCAAGTGGCATTCTAGCCGAGCGCTAGGCACTTAAGCAAAATAAGTGGCAACTGGCACTATGAGCTGAACGCCAAACACTTGCTAAAAAAATAAAAAGCCAAGTGGCATTCAGCCTAGCGCCAGGCATTTAGTGAAAGTGGCAACTGGCACTATGAGTCGAACGCCAAACATTTGTTAAAAAATAAAAAGCCAAGTGGCAAGTGGCATTCAGCCGAGCGCCAGACATTTAATGTAAGTGGCAGCTGGCACTATGAGCCGAACGCCAAACATTTGGTAAAAGTAAAAAAGCCAAGTGGCAAGTGGCATTCAGCCGAGCGCCAAGAGCTTACCCAAATAAAAGATGAAAATGACATATGGCATTTTGGCCAAGCGCCAAGCACTTAGTAAGATTTTAGTTAAAAATCATTAATTTCATTCATGGTGAGATTTGAAGTTACAAAGATAAAGTATACAGATGAAATGAGAACAGATGAGGAAGTTAGGACATCAAAAGGGCCCTAACTGGTTGCACCCGCCTCATTAGCCTCCTGATTGCGTTGAGCAGCTTCCTCACCGTTATTGGATGTCATATCGTCATGGGGAGGAAAGTCGAGCTGAA